CCCCCCCCCCCCCCCCACCCCCCCCCTTTCTTTGAATTAAACCATTTCGCTTTCGCTGGACTAATGACTCTCTGCTTCTCTCCCCCCCCTGCCCCTCCCCGAATCCGGTCTGGGTCTCTCTTCGCCCCCGTCCGCGTGCCGCTCGCTCCGTCGTCCCCCCTGCTCCGTTGTCCCCCCTCCTGGGCTCTCGTTCCCCCCCCCCCCCCGCCTCTGTCTCTCTCCCTTCTCCCATAGGAGCCTCAAACTACCGTAATTCATAACCCCGCGGACGGCATAAAGGTATTGCTGCCTCTCTTCCCTTCTCGCCTCGCCCGCGTTTGTTAGCCCCCGGGGTCATTTGGGGCCCCGCTTTCCGCCTCCATCTTCCCCCCCCCCCCCAACATCAGCCATGGCGCAGGGCAGGGAGGGGGCTGACGTGGCGCTGGAGCGGATGAGGAGCGCGCATGGGGCACGGTGACGGCGGGGGCTCCCCTGCCCCGCGGTATCTGGCATCGCTGGGGTCCTGCCGAGCCCCAGCCAGGCTCATCCCCCCCTCCATCCCCAGCCCGGCTGGATTCTGACCCTCTCTGTTTGTCTCTCTCCCCCCGCACCGCCGCCGTCCTGCTGGCAGGAGTCGTCCGATAGCACCAACACCACCATCGAGGACGAGGACACAAAAGGTGATGGGGGAGCAGGAGGGCTGTGGGGAGCGGCTGGCGCTGGGATGCACTGGGATGCACTGGGAGGGTGCTGGAACGCACTGGGATGGAGCTGGGATGCACTGGGACGGCACTGGGATGCACTGGGAGGGTGCTGGAATGCATTGGGATGGAGCTGGGATGCACTGGGATGGCACTGGGATGGCACCAGGATGCACTGGGGTGTACTGGAATGTAACTGGAATGCATTGGGACACACTGTAATGGCACTGGGATGCTCTGGGATGGCAGCAGGATGCATTGGAGTGCACTGGGATGGAAATGGGATGGATTGGGACACACTGTACTGGCACAGGGACGCATTGGGATGGCACTGGGGTGGGCTGAGATGGCACCAGGATGCATTGGGGTGTGCTGGGATGGTACTAGGATGCATTGGAGTGAACTGGAATGGATTGGGACACACTGCAATGGCATAGGGGCAGACTAGAACAGCACTGGGATGCATTGAGATGGCACTGGGATGCACCAACATGCACTGGGATGCATTGAGATGGCACTGGGATGCACCAACATGCACTGGGATTCATTGAGATGGCCTGGGATGCGCTGACAGGCACTGGGGTAGCGCTGGAATGCACTGAGATATATTAATGTGGCACTGGAATGGACTGGCATGTCACTGGGATGCACTGGAATGATGCTGGGACACACTGGGATGGTACCAAGATTAATTGAGATGCACTGGATAGAACTAGGCTGTACTGGGATGTACTGGAATGGCACTAGGACACAGTAGATTGGTGCTGAGATGCAGTGGGATGCACTGGGACAAACTGGAGTGCAACGATATGCTCTAGAGCAGTACTGGTACACACTGGGATGGAACTGGGCTGTATTGGAATGTACTAGGATGCAATAGGATGATGATGGGACATACTGGGATAGAACTGGGCTGTGTTGGAATGCACTGGAATGCACTGGGAAATATTGAGATGCACTAGGATGGCACAGAAGTGGCATTGAGATGCACTGGGATATAGTGGTGTGGCACTGAGATGCAGCAGAATGGCACTGGAACACAGGGTGACACAGGAATGGACTGGGATGGTACTGGAATGCACTGGGAAACAGTAGGATGGTACCAAGATGAATTGAGGTGCACTGGAATGGCAGTGGGATGCACTGGATGGAACTGGGGTGGACAGGAAGGCACTAGAATGGTACTGGGAAGCAGCAGAATGGTACTGCAATACACTGGAATGGAACTGGGATGTATTGGGATGTGCTGGAATAGCACTGGGACACAGTAGATTGGCACTGAGATGCAGTGGGATGTACTGGTGCAAACTGGAGTGCAACGATATGCTCTGGGATAGCACTGGGACATACTGGGATGGAACTGGGCTGTATTGGAATGCACTGGAGTGGTACTGGGGTGGCATCAGGGTGAAATGAAGCATTTGGATATAGTGGAGTGGGCTGCATTGGAATGGCACTGGAACACACTGGGATTGCACTGAGATGCACTGTAATTCAACAGCATGATGCTGGCATGTACTGGGATAGAACTGGGGTGAACTGGAATGCTTGGAATGGCACTGGGACACAGTAAGCTGGCACTGGGTTGCATTGAAATGCACTGGGATGGCCCTGAGATGTACTGGTGTAAACTGGGGTGTATCAATGATGCACTGGAATGTACTGGGGTGTCACTGGGATGCAGTAGGATTGCACTGGGATGGAACTGGGGCATATTGGAATGCACTGGGATGTATCGGAGTGCACTGGAGTGGCACTGGGATGTGTTGTGGTGCACTTGCATGGAACTGGGATCTATTGTAATATACTGGAATGGCACTGAGCCACAGTGGGATGGCACTGGGAGACACTGGTATGGAACTGGCTGTATTGGGATGCGCTGGAATGGCACTGGAACATGCACGGGTAACATTGGGATGCACTGGGACATGCTGAGCTGGTACTGGGATGGCACTGGGCAGCACTGGGACATGCTGGGAAGGCCCAGGACACCTGGGCCATGGGGGTGCTGAGACCGGTGTGGCAGAGCTGCGGGGACCCTGGGCACACGGACGTCCCTGTGTCTGTCCGTCTGTCAGTACTCATGGCCCATGCATCTGTCCCCATAGTCTCTCTGTCCCCAAGGTCTGTACGTCTGTCTTCATGGTCCGGCTGTCTGTCCCCATTGTCTGTGCCTGCTCCATGGGCCGTCTGATTGTCCCCATGCTCCCCTCGCCCC